AGGGCCCGGGCAGCCGGGATGCGGGATCGGGACGCAGCAGCCCCGCGGGGCCGTGAGCAGCGGTGCTGCCCCGCACGCCGACAGCCAGGCTCCTATTTCTCTGCTCCGGAGAAAGGGTTTTCGTTACCTGTGACCGGAGTTACACAGAGGGCAAGGTCTTTTTAAAACCGATGCAAAATAATTCAGATTCACTGTATTTTTCCTCCTAAGGAGCAACGGATAAGTTTATCTAAGGTTTCCACCTGTTTGTTTTCAGTTTGTGTGCTCTGCTCTGGCGTTTTCCATATTTTCCTTGTCTGTGTGGGCACGTTGCCTTCATCGCCGTTTCATTCACACAGAATATAAGACTAAAATTAATATTGTGCTGGGTTTTTTGGGTAAAAGATGTCAAACCAATCGTGTCTTTGTAGCGTCGTGTAAAAACACAAATGTATCTGCATGCCTTAGAAATACTCCACTAGAAGTGCTTTAGAAACAACATAAATAACTTACTTTCACAGCCCTGTTCCCAGCTCTTTCAGCAAACCAGGTGGCAAGTGGGTGCTTGCAAAAATTACTGTTTTTACAAAAAAACTAAATCTCTTTCTCGAAAAATTTTAAAATGGAAATTATGTTGACTGGAGGCTTTTTGTTTACTTAAGTTTTTAGCAGCAATTTTTTGACCATGACCAGGCAATGCCTGGATGTGAATGGTACATTCTAATACCTAGAATGGGTGTCTTGATTACTCCGGGGAGAAGAGTGATGCTGCCTGGTCCCAGTGTGCAACAGAAGTGATCCTGGCTGTGGATCCAGGAACCACCACGGTTTGGCTACACATATTACATACCTACAGCAGATCCTTTATTTTGTGTAGCAGATTTTCCCAGGCAATTTGCTGTTTGTGTTTGATGGGAAGTCTGAGAGTGGATAAATTTAATTCAGAGTGAAATCTTGCATTTCCACAGCTGAAATTCTGTACTTTTTTTCCCCACAGGCCTGGGGTTTTATCTCAGATGTGAAGCTCCTAAACCAGAAACTCCTGTTTCCAAGGGCACCCGAGGAGATGAAGTTTTCAGGTACGTGCATTTCTATGTACTGTATGTCAGTCAAAGCTATTCCAGTTCTAAATGTAGTTACACAGCAAAATCAAAACTGTGTAAACCAGCCCTAGTCCTGTATTTCAGTAGAGAAGCAGGTATTTTTACTAACCCAGTGTGTCCATATCCTTGGATAACCCAGACTTCTCCAGTAATTGGGGAAGGCTTCCTCCTACCAGTGGGATCTTGATGGGATGGCAAAGAGAAATCCTGCTGCTAAACATAAATTGTTAGATTCTTCTGCCAGTTTTCATTATTATCTTAAATGATGATCTTGATGTCATCACAACAATGATGATTTTTTTAAAACCAAAATGCATCCAGATCTGGCTATGCCTTAACGCAAGAAGCAAACACCAAGAAAAAAGCACATAGGAATTTTTTTTTATTTGAAGTTAGAGGCAATAGCCAAGGCAATTGCCTTCAAGACAATCTCATGAAGTCTTAATGTAAGCTTTATTTTATATTGATCATAAATACCACAATAAAAAGAAGAGTGAGATTTTTTCCCTTTTGGTTTAGAGCTATAATGTGAACAGAGTATTTCACATATAATTTCAGTCTAACCTGAAAAGAGTCTAACCTGCTGAAGAGAACATTACATGATAATACTCTGTGAACCACATTAATAGCAAATCAATCACAATTAATCACCCAAAATAATAATAATAAAATATCTTCTAAATAAAAAGGATTATTTAGAAACCTTTCCTTGTCTTTGGTGGAAATCTTTGACTTCGGTGTGTGCTTGAAATGTTTTGCAAAATCAAGAGCTAATTCTTGTAAATGTAGATATTCAGTAATTTATGGGCATCAATTTTATTTAAATTTTTTATTATGCAATATTTGGGTGAAATTAAAAGGTTTAGTAAATTGGTCTTGCCCTTGTCTAGCCAGGCTGTCACAGGAACAGACACTCCTAACACGTGAAAGCCGGCATCTGGGACATCCACGAGGGCTGCTTGGCTAAGGACAACAGGATCAGGTATTATTCCAGCTAAGAAGTGCTGTGCTTTGGGGAATATTGAATGAATTGCATTTTTCCGTGGAATCCTGAATGAATTAAAGGACTGTGAGTTGTATTACAGGCAGAGCTGATGGACCAGGTTTACAAAAAGCTGGGAAAAGACTTTGTGATCACTGTTTTCAGCTTTTCCCAAAATAATTTTTTTGATGTTTTCAAAAGGTTCTTTTGCCCTGCAATGGCCAAATACATCTTACAAAATTCTTTTGAAGTTTGAAAATGTATATGAGAAAGGATAAGCATGCAATTTTTTTAGAAAGGTTATGGGTGGGAAGACAGAAGAAGTCAGTTCCTGATGTTTTAAAACTATGGGCCAAGTTCTGCCCTTCAAAATCTGAGTCCAGGCTCTGTGGCTTCACTTAACTGATACATTTGAAAATTATATTTTTCTTACCATAGTTCATGGAACACTGATCACCTGTAAGATTGTTCATAAAATGATTTCAACTAAAATAGAAAATATACTAACAGTTCCACATCCCAAATCATAGAGAGAATATATTTCAAAAATCGCCTTTACCCTAATTTGTAGTTGGTTGTAAATGGAAACCACCGTGGGTGGTGCCTGTTGAGTTTTCTCAGAAGTCATCTCCTGGGCTATGAGTGACTCAAAAAATTTGCTCCATGTAATACTGCCAGAAAAATCAAATACTGATCATTGCCAAGAGTTTAACTTCTGTTCTGTACCGGTGTGTGATGCTGCATTTGTAAGCAGCGAATGGAAAAGCGTCTCACAGAGCTGCATCCCAGCTTTTCCTAGTACAGGCTGTGCCTGCATTTCTGACCGTCCTTGTTTTCAGAGCGTGCTGGCTCCAGCTCACCGCAGCATCTTTAGAGATGCTCTTGTTGCTTGCAGGACCCTCCCCGCCGGGGACGTCACCGATGGACTGTGGACACTTAGCAGAGAGCAGCGAGGAGATCTCCAGCCCGGGCGCAGAGGCCGATTCCCTGCTGCCTTCCTCAGCCGGCAGCAATTCCTGCCTGCCCTT